AACGGTGTGAGAAGTAAGTGGTTAATATTTGGCGAATCGATCTTCAACGGTGTGAGAAGTAAGTGGTTAATATTTGGCGAATCGATCTTCAACGGTGTGAGAAGTAAGTGGTTAATATTTGGCGAATCGATCTTCAAAGGGGATTTGATAAAGGTGGTTTGGCAAAAACGTTGAACACATCTTTTCCATTCGCTTAAAAAAAATTCTCTATTCATATTTCTGTATTTTTGATATTATATTACACTGTTATATATACCTTTGTTATTAAATGGTTTAATATCGTTTTTAAGGTTGATTACACAATGCATTAAATCTTATTCTGTTGTGACGTTAAACATGTACATTGTTAGGTAAGCTGAAAACTACTAATAGAAACAAAATGTTGCTTCTCTGGAGCTGAGGTTAGGTTAACTAAATGATTATATGCACTTTTCATTCAGTTAGTGGTATCATTTTATAAAAGTAAGTATAACTTTCTTGTTAGCTTCGAAATATATTTTGTAATAAATTTCTTCAGAAGTTTATGACATTTTTTTATACAACTTATCATTTTTTTCACTCACTCACAACAATTCATATGTTCTTATTCTATTTTACTTAAGTTAAAGTTCAAGTCAGAACGAGATTAAATTCGACTCTTACCTGATATCCTAATTCTGAATACAACGATTGAGAAGTTATCTTCATGTCTCAAATTCGCAAAGAGTTCATTAAAATTTGATATAAAGTGACATCATTTAGAAGTAAAATGCTATATTTACCTTTCAAACGAAATAGCAAAATTTAAATACAATTTCTCTCTGAAAAATTAAAGATTTGACAGAATACGAGTTTTTATTAAGCACAAAGTTACACAATGGGTTACATGCGCTGTGCCCATTAAGAGTATTGAAACTCGGTTTTTAGCCCTAAAAAATACCATGAACCACCTCGAGGCAAAATGAGGAATTAGCAAAAGCGATAGAAACGAAACACAATCATGGGTTAATGATTGAAGAAATTCGAAAATTTATAAAATTCTACAATTTTCTAAAGCTTTTAAGAAGATCTCAAAAACTACACTCTAAACCCTAATATACATTACAGTATATTGTTCTAACTTTTTATTTTGTTAATCTTTCCATATTTCAGATAAAAATATAGAAAACAGTTAGTATATTGAGTACAAACTTCGAGTGTTTATGGAAATTCTTATCATTGCTTGGGGGAAGGATAGGTTTGGACTATAAAAATTTAATACATGTATTTTAAAATCTGACCAAAAAAAGGCAGGCAACTAATCTGTAAACATGAATGATAATAAAGCACCACGACCATGTAGTTTATAATGTATTCTATCATTTTAACAACGGGTGTCAAACAAGACGTTCCTACAGGAAAACACGAAAGTTGGGTAATTGCCGCTGAAGGAGATGACTTACCCATCCCTAGAGGACCCTAAAGTATGAATAGTTAGGAGTATAACCCACTGACGTTACTGAAGACGATAAAAAGCAATAATTACACCTACCTCAGCTTTGGTGCATACTTTATTCATATAACTGATTTTCATAGCCAGCATAGTTTACAGTAGAACTTCTAGAACCCATTAAGTACAGTTTACAGTAGCACTTCTAGAACCTATTGAAGTACAGTTTACAGTAGCACTTCTAGAGCCTATTGAAGTACAGTTTACAGTAGAACTTCTAGAACCTACTGAAGTACAGTTTACAGTAGCACTTCTAGAGCCTATTGAAGTACAGTTTACAGTAGAACTTCTAGAACCCATTGAAGTACAGTTTACAGTAGCACTTCTAGAACCTATTGAAGTACAGTTTACAGTAGCACTTCTAGAACCTATTGAAGTACAGTTTACAGTAGAACTCCTAAAGCCTATTTCAACACAGTTTACAGTAGCACTTCTAGAGCATAATGAAGCACATTTTACAGTAGCACTTCCAGAGCCTATTGGAGCACAGTTTACAGAAGAACTTCTAAAACACATTGAAGCTCAGTTTACATCAGCATATCTAGACCATAGTGAAGCACAGTTTACAGTAGCATTTTTAATGCATCTTATCACAGACAAAAAAAATTTTATTTTTAAACCTAATAAATGTAATTAAATATCAATAGTGTACAAGTTGTTACCAGTTAATTCTATATCTGTAACTTAGTAAAAGATGTTTGAATACCCTTATTAGAATATAGGAATAAAACATTGCACTCAAATACAGGGCAGAGTTGGGTCATTTTTACGGAAATCAAACATTTATTGTTGCGCAAACAATAGATATTTCACCAATCTAAAATCACTATATTTAGTTAAACAAACAAAATTTCACCAACTGATAATCACAGTATATAAAATGTTCCACTGAACAAGAATGCAGGGTGTAGATAAGTGGAGCGTGCCCGGGCTGTGAATCCGAGCCTTTATGGTCTCGACTCCTTGCCGTAAAAATGAGTTCCACACTTTGGGATCGTAGGTGCGCTGTAAGAGTAAACGTCAAATCCCATTACTCGATCAGAAAAAGAGTAGCTCAAGAGTTAGCTGTTGTTTAGCTACTTCCTTCTAGCCTATGGATGGGTATAAGTAGATAGCCCTTTCTGCACCTTTGCGTGAAACTCTGAAATTATATATTTTTTTTTTTCAGAAGTGAACATATATATATATATTATTTTGTTGTTAAGCACAAACTCGCGTAATGAGCTAACAGTGCTGTTCCCCTTGCAAGGATAGTCCATAATCTTAGAATTATAACCCTTCATGCTTACCACTGACAACTGAAATGGATGAATGACGTTTCAATATATTTCCAGTAGGAAAAGTTGTTATTTAAGATAAGATAAAAAGACCTAATTGGAGTAGACCCTATCGGAAACAGTGCAAGAATAATTAGTTAAGTAATAATGACTGAAAAGTCATTCCACAGACAAATAGTACAACCTACAGATGGCCTCCTACCTTAGAATAATTTGTTTGTTTGTAATTAAGCACAAAGCTACACAATGGGATATCTGTACTCTGACCACCACGGGTATCAAAACTCGGTTTCTAGCGTTATAAGTCCGAAGACATACCGCTGTACCACGGCGGAGCCCTAAAAACAACGCATATATCGATACTAATTACAATATAGTTGTTTTCATGTTCCACAATTCGACGTTAAAATACATTAGGATTTCATGAAATAGACAACTTCACAATGTCGATGTAACATAGAAATTAGTGTTCCGAAAGTCGTAGTGAGCTTATATTGTGGATACAAAGTGCATTAAATAATAATATAAAAACACTGTCTGATACTGTATAATAGCTGAAATGATTCATACAACAACTTGGAGACAAAAAGCTAATGGTCAAGATTGGTAGGTTTTGTTTTTGTTTTCCTTGGCATTAAAAGTCGCCGATTCTTTGCAATATGTCTGAGATGGATTGCAACATGCTCTATAATCTCAAACCGCAAGGTCAAACGTAACAAATTAAATACGAAAGAGGAAAGTTTTACTTTATTATTAGCAACCACAGCCTGGTAACATACAAGTTAAATGCCTTTTATGAATATGCATGTATAGGATTAGTAGCCAAGCCCGGGAATCACAGCACAACCAGAACACGGTAATAAAAATAAATTATTCACCTCCAACAACAAGGCATATAGTTAAAAAAAAACGTGCAAACCATCATGTGTCTATTAACAATGGAACGTAGCCTAATCTCAAGCTTTATAGCTTATACTAGTGAAAAGATAATATTCATGAAGATAGGATAATTGTATAGTCTAAAAAAACAACGTTTAGTTTATCATAATTCTCATAGAGGGCGATATATACGATAGTAATTATTGTTTCAAATATAGTTATGGACACCGACTGTCGGAAGACATATCTAACAAAAGGTTGAACGATCACGACGACATGAGCACGAAGTAAAGCATGCAGAAAAGTAGTGAAAGTTAGAGCATAGATCATCATCATCCAATACCAGGTACGCCTAGAGTCTGTCTATATAGAAAGCTCTTCATCTGCTCCTGCTTTCATACACCCTCTGCTTATTTATCTCACTCAACGTGAGATAGAACGATCGTTTTCTAGGGCATTCTGGTGGTCTCCTGCTTTTCGGCTTCCACAGGAACCACTTTAGAGACATTCTCTTCCTCTTCACTCGCCTGAGGTGTTCATACCATCTCAGCTGCACTTCCTTTGTGACCAGGTCTGAATTAATATCAT